AAAAATAATAGTGCAACACTTCAGTCAAAACTCAGACTTGTTTGGCATCCCCACACTAAAATTCTCACGGTGCACAGAGATCTCCCTAACTCCCAAAAGTTGGGATAATAAAGTTTACTGTAAATTGTGAACAGTCAGGATGACAACTGTGAAAATTAAAGTGATTTTGCATTGATATTTCATTTGATATTTCTAAAATTTATTATAAAACTGCTAAGGTTAAAGTATATAAAGTGTATTGATGTTAACATTTTCATCACCAGAACGTCTCACACAAATTTTTCTTCACTTTTTTTTCTAAATTTCTTCAATATTTCAGAAAATCAACCCTAATTTTGTAGCCAACAGTTGAAATTTGAGTCAATTTTTAGTTTGTACTCAAAAAATTTGGCTACTTTTGTTCCAATCTTCTGAAGGACAGTGCAGACTATAAGTGTGACTATTTTCTACAACTGGTGGTGAAAAGATTAAACAATGTTATTTATTTATAATTACTAGACTTGTTTATTTTGTAAAAATTTGTTGAACTATAAATTGCGAAAAACAATGGAAGTGGGTCATGAACACCGGAAATGGTAAATAAACTACTTTACGCTATACCATCATTTTGTTGAAAGTTTGAAAGAAAACAAGTCATCTGAAGATGACACAGCCCCAACTTGTAAGATGTGATTATAGTTGGCTATGAATTCTAAAGTTTAAATTTATATGTATAAAATCGGGTAGGAAGATTAAGTTGAAAATCAAAAGTATGTTACACAAAGTTAACAGCCAGGACATCTCTATTAAATTTGGTAAAATTTGCATCAATTTTAACAAAAATTCACAATCAATTGAATATGGAAATTCAATTGAGTCAATATTAAATAGCAAATACATGAACTATTAGTTCACAAGATATTGACAAAAATTCAATATTAATTAAATATTTAAGTTGAAAGTCAATATTGCATAGCACACATCTTATATTGACAGATCAAGTAAGTCTATACCAAGTTTGGTCTCATTCGGACAATTAGCTCACAAGATATTAAGAAAAATTCCCACCAAACTTGTACAAATTATATGAGAACTCAAACATCTATTGCGATTGTATCCAACTGAATGTTGAATATGGAACACTCTATAAATACTAGGTTTCGATATTTGTGATGAGTGTGTTTTAAAACAGGATTTGATACAGCTTTGAATGCTGGGATTTTAGGTTGTCCAGATAAAAAATAAATCTGTTAGATTTTGACACACATAACACATGGATGCCATAATTGCTGATGCCATGGCTCATTTTATTACATATCATATAAAAATTATTTAGCATAATACAAATTTAACATATGGAAAAGCGAACCTATAACGTTTTATTGTCTCTTTAAAGTATACTCAATGTGAGGAATACAGAGACATATACAGTTATCAAACAAGATTTGTTTGTAAAGAGTATATATATCACTTGGGAACTTTATCAAACACAGGTACAGTGCAAAGCATCGACTGTGGTGGTGTAAGCATGGAATATACTACTGTAGTTATCATCACAATAAAATCAACATGAATGTAATATTTCAGGTCTCAAAATTCATGGAGGTCACAATAGAAATTACAATACCTGACTGTCTTGGAGCCCTAAAATTTTCACTACCCAGTTTCAATGGGACATTTTTAACATGGGTGCCCAATAATGAAGTTTAAGCCCAGATGCTCACATGAAAATTACAATGCTCGTTTATTAAATCTGATGTTAGTTTGTAGAGTCATTAATAATATAACCTCTATTTAAATCAAAGATCACACAGTAAGGTGTATGGTGACCATATATTCTCTTTTCCACTGTTTTTTTTTTGAACTATGATTTGCTATGATTTGAGTACATTCACCAGTTACATAGTATCTAACCCCGGTTTAATTAATAAACCAGTGGCAAGAGAAATAGGCAAGATCAGTGCTAAAACAGTATGCAAAATTGTACAGGAGCCAGTCACAATAGGAATCACAATGATCAATAATATAGTATAACGACATTTGAATTATATTAAATAGAAAACAATACTTCAGTATTGTACTGTAATCCACAATTTTGTAGAAATATAATTCTGAAATTACTGATATAGTGAACTATAGAGGGGGTAAATCACCACATTGAATTTCAACTATTTAAAGTACATTGTTGTTACAATCAGAATAGCGCAAATTTGTTATTCAAAGTTTTAAATAGTAACACTTTCCTTGACAATTTATTTGGGTATTGTTATGTAATCCTAATGTTATAACATTACATCTTTTTTTTTTTATGATTGGCTGTTTCAAATTAAAAAAAAAAAAATACTAGAAACTTATGGGTACCTGAACAGGAAATTTTCTAATCTAAGATGGACGCAAAAGTAGGGATAAGTTTGTTTCAATATAAGCTCATGTGAAGTGGGAGAACAACTGCACTTTTTTTAAAAACCAAAGATGAGATTAATTTGAAAAAAACAAAGGAATACATCACATATTTTGCTTATCTAAACAATCAATTATAATTAATACTGATAATTAAAAATAATAATACTGGTTTACTCATTTCACTGGCTATTAAAATTCATAATATGTTATTGAGATAGCAGCAACATCAACTTCCGGGTCATCATCTTAGAATTATTGATATGTTGATGAGAAGATGATTAAATGAAACATGTGAAAATAAAATACCCAAACTTATTTGACGTGGCAATTTCCAAAATAGCATTCAATAAGCAATATTCAGGCAACCATTTTGATTTGAATAGAGGCTAAAAGACACACAACTAAGATTCATAATTCAAAAACTAGTTTATTTTTTTCTCAAATAACCACTGGAAAAAATCTAGAAATTTCTGAATCAAAAATTTGTATTCATGCACATACTTAGCTTACTTGTAAACTTAGGCAGGGGTCATATTCCTTGGGCTTGTTAGTCCAATAAGTGCACTCCCCAACCTGTGAGGGAGGCATCTGTTACTAGAGTCATAGCCGTGGTGAGTGGGTCCAGAGGGACCCCTGCCTGAGGTTGGCAATAGTCGTCCACCATGGCAAGGCATCCCTCATTTGGTCCGAGAGAATTACTCACCTTTCTAGTTCTAGTAAGTGAGCCCGGTGCTGCAACAAGGTGCGCTATACTGGGCAGCAGCGTAACGCGGCTTGGGAAACTACCCTGCGAACCGATGTCATCATTCCGATGATACGTATCAGTTCTCGGGGGGGGGGGGCACATAGAGAACGCTGACTAGGCGTTCGGCTAGGTCACTTAGTGCTAAGCAACAAGCCTGCTATGGCCGTACCAAGCCCGCCTCCATGTCGAACTCCGTGTCCAGAAACACCAACCGCTGTGTTGGTTGGGGATGGGCCTTCACTTGATTTATTAGGTGAAGTAAATCCTGTGTACTAAGTACGGGTTGATGTGTACCAATGCCCAGGGCAGCAGCAGCACCACCTGTTTCAATACGTATGGAGCTGTGCATAACCTGAAGGGAAGGACCATGAAATTTATGTCATAATGGTTATAAATAACTGTTAATTTATCAAAAATATTGGAAGCAGGGTGTGGGGATTTACTGGACTTTAAGTTTAGTAGAGATGTGTGGGCCAAAGGTCTAAAATTACACCCCACTGTAGACAAGTTATGATTTAGTATAGCCCCTTATAAACTAAACTGTAATGTCTTTAGTTTACCCTGAAACATGATGCATTGTGGTGAATTGATTTAGGGGGAAATGATACTTGAATATGCTGTCAACGCAAAACAAAATTGAGGATGGAGGTTAATAATTTTCAAAAATACAAGCATAGACAATACATGTTCCTGTTCTATATTTAAGGTAGCGGGACTATTATTTGCATACTTGTTTTCATCTTCTAATTGTGACTAAATGACTACAAATAGACCCGGGCAAGTATATATTTTTAGAATCGCCAGACTTCAAGCTTTTCACAAGTGTATTTTGCATGCCCGTATCTGCATTCTACGACGCGTTACTCAATCAAAGGTGAAAAATTACTTTTTCTGTGAAAAAAAAATTACGCATTTATGCTGGTGATAAGAAGTATTTTTTTCACTTTTCCTAGTTGTTCAATAGTCTGGTAAATTGAATGTGTCTGGTTAGTTTTATTCAAGCAACGCGTTTTAAAAAATAGTGTCCTGAATTTCAATTACTGTTTTAGACGCATTGCCCCCAACTCAAACCACAACTCGTTGGTAAATAATCGATGAAATAGTTTGTCTGGACACATTCAAGTTCCTCTCATTGTCACCTTAAAGCTGTGAAAAT